GCGCCTCAACTTTTTCTCAAGCAAGCATATGGAATTTTTGCACTGTCCAACCAAGCCATGCTCCCTGCTGGGGTTCCCCTGTATTCTGCCTCAAGTCCTTCCTTGTAGAAAGGTGGGCTAGAAATGGCTCAAGTCAAGCCCCTGCTGAGGGCTGAGACCCCCTTCTAACTCTCCAGCCACTTGATCTGTTCTTGCTCGCAGCTGTTCCTGGAAGCAGTCCACTGTGCTCTTAAACCCTCGCCTCAGCCTTCCTCCTGCCCTCACGTTTCTCCTCCCATACTGCTATTATTATCTTCTTCCTATCTGTCCGTCACCTTGGACAACCAGCTGCCGAGCTTGGCCTCATCTGCAGACAGGAGCCAGCAGACCACCTGCTCTCTTAAAGCTGTTCATGGACAGAAAAAGGAGAAAAAAACACACAACTTCATAGCACTTTTTCTCATTTGCTACAACACAGCAATGGAAATTGTATAGAAATGTCACACCCACACTCCCTACCCCCATTCTCGTTGCTGTTACTGACCAAGGACACAGGGAGGAAGGGTAGGGCTCATTTATCCTTGGCACCAAGTTTCAAATCGCTAAAACCAATATGGGGAGTGGAACTCAGTCTGATGGGGTTTTGGAAGATTGCCGGGATTTAACTTTACAGTGCAACATTAGTATTAGGTAGATGGCCAAAATTGTTATCATTCCCTTGGAGAAAAGGCAACTATAAATCTTCTAAACAAATGAATGCACCCAGGTTTATATGAGATGCTGCAGCAAAGAGGTCGTAGTTCTTCTGGTGCCTGGTGTTGTCAAAACATTTTATAAACCCTGTACAAGGCTGTGAAACATCCTTATATGTATCATTTCATCAGCACACTGAAAACCTTCATGCAATTCAATTACTCTGTCTAGAGCACATCTCAAATACCCCTTTGACAGGCTTGGGGACTGAAGCACAGAAAGGCTGAATGGCAGAGTTTGGGCCCAGATTAATAAAAACCTAGGATGCTCAAGGGCAAAAGAAAATGAATAGACATAATTTTGTACCTGAGCCTGTCTTTTGTGTGTGGGTGAATGTTAAAGCAGATAATGATCTTAAGTGATGCTGTTCTCATCTGCAGTTTCTTATGGAATTTCACATGGTCAGACAATGTACAATAAATGCACACCAAGGGATATCAGGAAGCCAGCAGCAATCTCCACCCCCACACTAATGCATTCATATGTTGCACCAATATGTATGCAAGCAGGGATCCTGATTCTGTAGAGAGAGCCCTCTGTGCGTACCCTTGTATAAAAGTACTTCTGAGTAGGCCTGCTTAGGATTGCTCCATACGTCAGAGGTAGAATTTGTCAGCACAACCCCACTATCTGTTTGTTGTACAGGTTTCAAACAGGTGGAATCCTTATTTATCCCTATCTTTTAGAGTGGCACCTCTCAAACAAGTAGCATGAGTGACCTTGGAGTGCTGCTATTTATTTTACTGCATCTACATCATGATTGCTTGCTGGAGGCTTAAGGCATTTGTGTACACGATGTCTTATGCATTGCTCATGTAATTCAGATATAAATCTACATTAGCTAGACTGTACATCCACTTCATAAATGGCTTTCTTCCACTTTGTCTTCTAGGTTAACAACATGCACATGAGCACCGCTAGAAAGGTGCAAAGTGCTTTTAATGCAGTGTGTGAAAATACTGTGTTACTCCTGGTCATAGTTTGTGGGCTGGCTCACATGTACCTGCTCATTGTGATTTCCCATTGCTTGATGTATGTCAGGTTTCAATGAATGCTTGTTTTTGTGGTAACACTTCTTTTGGAGTTGATGTGAGTCTCTCAGAGCTACATATGAAAGCACAGATATTCTGCATGGTTTCTGCAAGAGGTCTCTATAGACTTTCATAAGAATTATTAAGTAGGGGTCTCATTAACATCCACAGATGATTAAATGATTTCAAAGCATGAAATTTATTTATTTATAGTAGTACAAAGGTCCGAAAGTATCCCTCCAGTTGTTTGTAGGAAATGGAGTATGGATATAAGGCCATGCCCATAGAGGGCTTGATTTTAGCTCTGTTAATTTGATTCCTGCAATATGGTTAGTGGTTGCTACTGAAGGTGGGCAAGGCTACACATGAGCTGCTTTTGTGATGCTTTACTGAGACCTGTTTCTGCATCCAGTTCATACTGGAGGCCAGTTACCACTTATTGGGGGGGGGGTGCATATTCACATTCATAACAGATATGCAGGTGAGCATCAAGTATGAAGAATGTAGGCACACATGCTTTATGTCCCATGATGTACTTTAAACTTTATGCAAGAGGCTGCAGTTGAACATGGGAAAAATTCATGCAAAAGCCCTTCATATTTGCCTGATTTTAAGTAGGAATTGATTTAACAGAGTTCACAATTTTTTTGTACCCGACATAAAGTAGTCGTCTCATCCATTATATATATGCCTATCCATTATATAAATCAGGGAGGGAAAATCGGGACTTCCGGTTTGTGACCCATTGATTTTGGAAGGCTCCTGGGAGAGCTCCCGAGGAACCACCGAACCTCCAGGTCCCAGTGGGGGATCCGGGGTTCCTGGACCCCCACAGAGCCTTCCTGGAGGGAGACTCTTGGCAGGGGGCTTGATCCCGATGGCTCTCACGTATAACGGTACACAAGTAGACCCTAGATCGCCCCAAAGCAGGGACCTGAGAGGGAGAACTTGTGGACAGCCATCGAGCGTCGAGACACGATCGACTGCTTCAGAAGCTATACTCCAACTAAAGAATCTCATCTTAAAGCTCTATCTCTGAGCACTGTGAGTAGTTGAGCAACAGTGAATCTATTTCTGCTGTTTAGGATTGTTAAAACTGGTCCATTTAAAGTTTAAAAGTTCTGGGCGAAGAGAAAGAAAGGAAGGGTGGAAGGTTCCCCCCCCCTTCCCGGCTCTGCGGCTTGGAAGTGCAACCCAGGCTTCACATTATTTGTTATTATTGGAGATAGTTACTAAAGGACCTGAAAAACTGTGTTTGGTTGATTTATTCTAATTTGGGACTTGAGACTTCACTCAAATTATGGAGAGATTGGGGTTTTTTTCGTGCTTGATATTTGATTGTTGATTCAAGGACTGGTGAAGATCCTTTCAAAGTGCAGCTTCCCTACTCCCTTTCCACTTTTGCTTCTATAGAGAATTTTGGCAAGCAGCAAGGTTGCTTTGATTGTTACTTTTAAAAGAAATCTTCCTATAAGTGGATTATAATTTGGTTGCTTATTTGTGGAATTTTTCCTTTTTTCCCTACTTTTTTGGGACTTGTAAACTCTTTTGGGATTTGGTAAGACTAAGAATTGTTTTCCTTAATTACCTTATTTTCTTTTCCTGCATTGGAATATGTATAATGGGCTTTATTTTTCTTGTTTTTTAAATTCTTTTTTGGGCTACTGAACTCAATTGGAATATAATATTGGATTTTCTTTCTAGATTGGCTTCATCATCTCTAATATATAGACCACCTGTGTTTTAAAGGAATATAATGGTTTACTGAAATTTAAGCTGTATTGGGTCTTCTTCCTGGACATCTATAACTGGATTTACCTCTGCTGATGGTCCTTTCTTTGTCTTTGATTACTGACTATTTCCTATACTGGAATAAAAGGATAGGGGGT